AGTTTTAAAAAAAAAAATTGTTTTTTTAAAAATGGAGAAACAAAAAAAAAAAAAAAAAAAAAATGCCTGCCAGAGAAATCATATATATTGAGTTATGCAAGTTTCATTCATTTATTACAGACCGAAAACATCAATCAGTGATTACATAATATATTTTCTCCAAATTGTTTTATATATGCTCTTATTAACTTCAGTCCTCACCATAAATAACAAATATTGTTGTATTTATTTCATTTATTTATCTTTGCCATTTTAAATGCCAGTTTTAGCAAAGATGATCAGATTTTTTCTTTATTTTTTTGTGAAAATTATAACAATGGTCATTCAAATGGACACCATATTTGAGGTTTGGTAAATTTAAAATAATGTAAAAAAAAAATATTCACTTGATATAAAACAATGAAATATAAAATTTTGTCCCTTTTGCACAAAAAATGCCAAAAGGGGAAATTTATTTTTACAGGTTTTTCAAATCTGTAGACACCGCACTTCACATCCAAAACTTTTTAATTTAATTTATTAAACTCATGCTCATGGTCTGCAGATCTCTTCTAGATGGACAGCTTTTGCATCCCGTTTTTATTTATGTTTGCTGCAGGTAAATATTGGCGCTCTCTGCAGCGTTCTGCCTCCACCCTCGGCTGGTCGTTGAATGAAGCGCTGCAGCGTGACGTGGAGGAAGCTGAAACCGTTTCAGCCATGGCTTCACTGTCTGTCGCCAACAAGCACATCGGAAAAAGGTCTGTGGCGTGACGCTGTACGGTCGTCTGAGACCCCAGTTCCTGTGTTTGTTAAGAAATAGTTGCGATTGTATTTATATATTTCACTAAAACACAGTTCATTATTATGTGTTTGCTTTCTGCAGATATTTCTATTAGATAATGTTTAAAGCTCTGGATAATGAGATGCAATTGTTTTAAAATGAGCTTAAGGTCATATGTTCTCTGGCTAACATGGCCAGAGAAATAAATGCATGAAATAACAGCGTGAAAATAAAACAAAAGATCTCATCTCAAAATAAAGTGATAAGACTTAAGGTCTTTATATCTTAAAATTAAGAAAATAATACTGTAAAACTACAAAACATGCCTGAAATATGACCTTAATATGAAATATTATAAGTTCACAGAATGTGACAACGCTGTGTGTAACATTTCTCTCCTTACGGCGTTCTCTCTCTAAGGGCTGAAGAGGAGCCGATGGAAGAGGAAGCTCCCATGTAAAAGAAACAAACATGGTTAGCCTTCGACCACTAAGACCAGTGTTCAGCGCTGAATCGGTCCTCATCCTGGATCCCTCGTAGATTCCTTTGTCTCACCGTCGTTGGAAACGATCAGACCTTTTTCTCTCTGGGACGAAACCAGGAACTGACAAAAGTGGCTCTTGCAGAGGAACCAGACGGCGGATGATGAGCTTACGCCAGTTAGTTGCACACAGGGCGGCAGCATTAACCGTGTCGGACACAAGAGCCAGTTATTCTACAGCGACAGCCTCCAGTGCTTTTTAAAAACACTAAACTTGTACATTTTGACTGCCAGTCTGAACCGTACCAGACCTACAGCAGTCGTCTACTTCTCATATTTTATTTGTTTGTTGTTTTTTTGTGATTTATCAAAACCACCTTAGCTGTTAATGTGACTCTGCACTAAAGGATGGACTCCTGCTTTTTCAAGGTATCGGTGTGTTGAATATCCTGCATTTTTCCGAGGTAAAGTTACAGAAGATTCAAGGATTCAGAGAGTAACAGATGTTTGTGCCTTTTTTTTGTTTTGTTTTGTTTTTTAATCAGTGGATTTTCTGTTGAGCTCCTCATAAAGAGCTTTGCCTTACGAATGGATTTTGGATCAAGGAATCTTCTCCGAAGTTTCTGTCATGGCAAGACGTGAGGTGCCTGCATGTTTCCGGCACATAGACTCCAGGATGTTGGCATGTTGGCCTTTATTACTCTGCTGCCAGTCTACTGTCTGTCCCTCCATTTCTGCTTTTTTCTCTCCCTTTGTTACATTCGAAGGTAGTCCTCACCCAGAAGTAAGAGATGAGTGTAAGAAGGCTTAAAAGGAGAAACTGAAATGTCTGTTTTTCTTTATTTTTGGACCATAAAATCTAAAATCTTCTTTATTAGACAATACTGGAGCCAAAACTGTGTAGCTTCTGCTGTTTCCCACACCGGCAGTGACAGTTTCTACGGTAGAATTTGTGTCACTTTTTAAAGATTATTGAGGAGTGTAATTACTCTCGACTGGGCCAATTTGTTTTTACCGTCCCACCTGGGATTTTCCAGAGGGGTGATCTGGAGCTGCCTTTCCTCTCGCAGCTGCTTTAACATCTTTAGGTCCTTGTTAGAAGCACATCTGCTCTCCAAATGTCAGGTGCCGTGTAGCAGGTTGGTGAACATCCCAGTCTGTTCCTATACACTGAAACACAAGTTTTTCATCGTCAAGATGAAGCAGTGCACACCAGTTATGACTGATCATTATTAAGCCTGTTTAAATATTAATTGGTTTAGATATTATGTTTCCTCCCACCATTTTTTCACACCTTTAAAAAGCAATGCCATGTGGTAAAACGATGGTACAAACAGGTAAACTGGGATTCTTGGCTTTAGTTGCTTCAATATTTTCTCGAATAGTAAGAAGCTGTAGACTGAACACCACTTTAAGGCCAAAATGTTTTCTTGTTTAAACGCGATGAGGAAAAAGTTCTTCACTTAATCTGCTGGTTGCAATCTGCAGATGGAGAATAAAATCAACCACTACAGCAGAAATCCAGGATTATGTTTAGTTTTAGGATCATAAATATGGAAATATTTTTAAATGACTATACTTCACACTTTCTAATTTCAAACACCATGCTTGGTTCAACTTTTCTGTATCAGTTTTTAATCATCCATCTTTTTTTTTCTCTCCTGTCTTTTGGAAAACCTGACGCGTTTTGTTTTCCTAACTCTGACCTGTGGTCGATCTGCTGAGGATTCCTGCCACAAACATCAACAACCTCACTGGTTTTGTTGCTCCTCTGTGACCTTTGATGACTTTTTGTGCTCATTATTCACAGTTTCTCTCTGTTACTTTGTAAAGCTGACATACTTCACAACAGGTGAAGGTTCAAACTGTTTTGTAGTGGACGTTGTATGAAAACATTTCTGGGTTTATGGGGTTTTTTGGGGGGGTGGTTAGGGTGGGAACGTTGGGATACAAATGTTTCTACTTTGTAAAATGATGGATAATTGTGTATTTACTGTCTGTTTATAGTAGATTTATATATAAAAGAAAGTATATTATATATCTATACATACTGAACACTTTGATCTTGTTTAAAAAAACAACACTGATGGTTTCTATCGGTCGTATGTGCAGCCGACCCGTTTTAACGTTGTTGCTGAAGCACCTTGGCTGTCCTTGGTCACTGTTGACGTTTCTAGCAGCGTTTTCTGTCTGTTTTACTCGTCTTTCACAAGTGATGATTTATCGCTTTTATTTATCTGATGGGTACCACAAACACTGTTACAGTATGCCTCACATATTCATGCACATATCTGTACCATTCCATGTTTCTGATGCTGTATGTTTGGCTGTAGTTGTAGATTTTCAATTTGCCATTCTGAAATGATCAGTTAGAATTTAGATTTTTTTTTTTTTTGGCCCATTTTTTTCCTCTTTTTTGTTTTTCTAAGCAGTCGTTTTTTGATACGTATGAGCGGTCAGTCTGACCTGCAGGAGACAAGAGCTCAGATTTTAACTTTTATGTTTGTAAAATGAAGTCAGTCTAAAAAGTGGAAACTGCTCTTAAAGCGCCAGCACCTTGATGAGCCTTTTAAAAATGTATTCCAACTTTAATATGTTGTACAATCTGAAAATATAAGATAAAATAATATATGTTGGGGAGAAAATTACATGCAGAAATGTGCTCACCTATAAATGAGATCATTCCAATTTATTCCTCTTCTGCACAAACTAAATTTTTCTTATTTTAGTTTGTGTTTGAAAGTAAAATCCCTCTTCATCTGTCAAGTTGACACCTGAACATTTTGGTATTTAAAGTCATTCATTCTTTCATCCACTTTGATAAAAACCCCAGTTTTATGTGAGGAATAGTAATTCCACATCATGATGCTGCCGCCACGTCTCATTGAAGATATGGTGTTATTTTGGTGATTGTATTTTTGTGCCAAAGACATTGCAGCTCAAGTTTGCCACTAGATTCAGGGGTTTTAAGCAGGTTTGGATGTTTTATTTAAGATAAAATGAATTCATGGAAATTCCCTCAGCTTCTTCAATGACACTGTTAGTGTTTGTGAGCAGTTTTACTTCTGCATTTTAAATGTATATTAAAAATGCAGTGACTGATACCTTTGTAAAAGAATTAGGCCATTTTGATTGCAGAACATTTAAGCAACTCTCAGAAATATCTCACCAGGACATCTGAGCTTTATTTCAAAATCACCAGATTTTATTTATAATTGTTGGGAACTCAAGAAGACAGAATCCTGAAATTAAATCAGTAAGAGGTTTGGAAAGTATTAGATATGCACAATAATGTAACTATGTTGTTTTCACCCTGATAGATTTGTTGGTTTGTCTACAGTGAAACTGATCAGGACATATCGCAAATTAAAGGTAGAAAAATGTTGAAAATTATAATTGCTTCATTTTGTTGGGATACAAAAACCTAATTGACACTTTTTAGAGCCACTAGTTTTTTTTTTTTTTTTTTTTTTGATGGCACAAATCCACTTTCTTGTTGACTTAGCTGTAGTCTCATCTGTATGGTTGGAATCTTTTTATCACTTAAACTGAGGTACTTGAGAGAGCCGACTGCTGTAGGACAGACACTAACTGCTCATAAACTGTCCACAGAACCCCAATGGTAAAACTCTGAACTGACCCTTTAAGGTTTATAGTGTCATCCTGAAGACTGAAGGGTAAATTTGTCCTCCTGTGTGATTCAGTGATTCTTTGTAATAAGTTTTCTTTTCTTACCAGAATACTTTTTAAATGACTTATGCTGATTTTGCAGGCATTCATTTCCTTTGTTTGGATTTATAGCTCTCCGGTCTAAAAGACCAAAGCAGAATATTTTTTGTCTTAACTAGCAAAAACCAAAAAAAAATAACTGTCAGATATAATTTTTTTACAAACGTATTACCTTGGGATAATATCTGCTGATTAGCAACATTTCAGCACAACTTCTCTCTTTTTTTTTCTTTTTCTTTTTTTTTGCTGAATGTATTTGATCTCCAGGGGCCTGAATCATGTCCGATTCTGGAAATTAAAAGCTACACGCTTAACAAGAGGAATGAAATCAATACATATTTTTATTTAACCTCCTTATAAAGTTAAATGACAGTTTAAATGTAAATAGCTTTTTATAAACTAGAAGCGGATCTGAGAAGGACCTTTGCAGCAGGACGTTGGCTGACATCAGTTTTTATACGTCTCTTTACATTCCCGTTTTTTAATCAAAACACACACTGTTGTGAGCTCTTGTGTAGCTCTGGGCCTGCTTATCGAGTGCATATCGAATGTATACAGAGGTGACCGAGGTCGGGCTGAGGTGAACGTGACCTCACGCTGGATCCGAGGACGTCTCTGCACGCGTTGACTCACTGGAGGAGAACCTTCCCAGAACTCCTGTGGCTTTCCTGCTGCTTTATGTTTTGGTTTCTCGAACGCAGCCAAAACTAGCGCCGTCTGTCTTCACAGTTAGTCTTAAAAACAATGTCCAGTTACTGAAAAGAGAAGGAGAAAAAAATCACGACATTCCTTTTATATTAGAGTGACCATTTATCCAGAGGCAGACCTGCTTTTATTTTGACTCTGACAGCTCGGAGAACTGAGAGTTCATTCGGGTGGTCTCACCGAACTTCACTCCATTCTTCTTTTCTCTCTGCATGATGTTTGTCTGCATGTCCGTCCGTCCGTCCCGGGTCACATACCAGCACTGAAGGACATTAGTACTTTCACTGTATCCAAACTGTCTGATGGCTTTTACTTCGCGTTCAGGTGGACTTTGGGTGCTTTTTACCTGTAGCATATGGAGTCATCACACCTGGAGTTGTAGAGTCAGTATCTAACCTTAGATTTGATTGTATTTATGTAGAAGCTGTTCCAGTGGGGCGCTTTGTAAACCGCAGCAACAGAAGGAGGCTTTGTTATAAATCTGGGTAAGATGTGACATTCAGAGGACATTTTTATCCTTTTTAGTGCACTTTGGTGATGATTAGGGTCTTCGTCACATCTGGACTTTTTTTTTAAAGCTCCTTGTTACCGTCGTCCATTCCACTAAGAAACAAAACAAAAAGCCAGTTTTCTGTACATGACCACTGTGCTTCAAAAACAAGCTGTTCCAGGTTTACATATGTATAAAATGCATACTCTTTGTTTTTATTATTATTATTATTGGTTATGTTTTTGACTTGTTCTGCTGTTGTTACAGAAATAGTAATTTTTTTCTGGGAAAACCTTTACTCTAAAAAATTGTCTTTGACATGTATAATATAAAAGTATTCTTTTTGGACAAAAAAAAACAGACTGCATTGTGTGTGTCTTTTTCTTTAAGTGATGTGTTTAAAATGTGAACATCCTGAGGAACATTCATCTCTTCCACTCACATTTACATTTTTCAGATGTCAAAGTTAACTTTAGTGAATAAAAAATGCAGTTCCAACTTTTTTCTTTGAAAGAAAAAAAAATCCTCCTCCCTTTCTCTCTATTTCCCACCTGATTACTGCCAACAAAGACCACCAGCACCTCAAATCCAAGAAAAAACACTTGAAACCAACCTGGCCTTCTATAAAAATCAATTTGCCCCCAAACGTCTATTGGCAGCAACAATTGGCATCCAGCACTTGTAAAAACTGGTGAGCAAACTATTACGTGTCTTAGCAGAATTGTGACCCACTCTTGTTTGCACTTTTGTATTTTTCTTTTTGTTTTAGTACAGCTGTTAATACTGTCCTCAAGTCCATCCTTAACATTTGTTTTGTTGACCTTTTTTGCATTCTTTTCAGTATTCACATTGGGATCAAATGGCTTCCTATATTCACAAGTTTGTTTTAAAATAATAAAACTGTAAATGAATTATATTATTTATATTTGAATTTCTGGATAAATATGCTTCACTTCTCTATTTCTTACTCTCTTTCAAGTTCTTCTCCCAACTATTGTCCTCATGTGAATTCAAAGTAAACAGATTTAATTT